ATCTAAGTCCTGATATAACTTGATATGCTAGGTGAGCTGAAGGGAGAGGGAGCTCCACTTTTCTGAAAACAAGGGGAGGGAGAATAGGGTAAGAAGGGTGGGAGGGAGGGACCTGGAAGAGACAAGGGAAGGGGATATAATCAGGATGTAAAGTAAATATACACATTAAAAATAAATTTATAAATAAGAACATTTCTGGGAAAGAATTCATTTCCAATGGCTCTATTAGGACAACTCATAGAATATGTTTAGTGGTATTTATCAATGTAAAGCATTAAAAATGAAATGTCAGTTTACATTAAATAGATAGATGATAGATAGATAGATAGATAGATAGATAGATAGATAGATAGATAGATAGATAAAATGCTGTCTTCAGGGTCATAGTTCAGCTCCAGACTCTGCAGTCCTGATCAATCAATCATTAGCAGCATGATTGCAATAAAATTTTATCAGCATTGTCTTGGTGTTTGAGTTAAGTTGGATTTAAGTGGATCCCACAACACTGAGTACATATACACATGAAAAGACATCATCATGTCTAAGGAGATATCAGCATCCCTATCATCATTTTATTTTTATTAAGAATAGGCAAGGCTAAATAAGTGAGTACATACTATGTGTGTCTTTCTCCTTCTGGGATACCTCACTTAGAATGATCTAGATCCCACCATTTACCTACAAATTTAATGATTTCCTCGTTTTTAATTGCTGAGCAGTATTCCATTGTGTAAAAATACCACAATTTCTGTATCCATTCCTCAACTGATGGACATCTGGGTTGTCTCCAGGTTCTGGCTATTACAAATATAGCTGCTACAAATATGGTTGAGCAAATGTCCTTGCTGTGTATTTGAGCCTCTGTTGGATATATGCCTAAGAGTGGTATAGCTGGGTCTTGAGGAAGTACTATTCCTAATTGTCTGAAAAAGCACCAGATTGATTTCCAAAGTGGTTGTACAAGTTTACATTTCCACCAGCAATGGAGGAGGGTTCCCCTTTCTCCACAACCTCTCCACTATGTGTTGTCATTTGAGTTTTTGATTTTAGCCATTCTGGGGTTTAACCATTTAACTTCGTTAGTCCTTTATATATTCTTAAAAAAGATAAACAAGAAAGAGGACCTAGGGTAAGATGATCAATCCTTACTTAGAAAGACAATTGGGATGGGCACTGGATGTAGGAGAAACAAGTAACAGGACAGGAGCCTCCCACAGAGGGCCTCTGAAAGCAAAGCAGATGCTGAGACTCATAACCAAACCTTCGGCAGAGTGCAGGGAATCATATGAAAGAAAGGGGGAGTTAATATGATCTTGAGAGGACAGGAGTTCCACAAGGACCAAATATATCTGGACACAGGGGTCTTTTGTGAGACTGTTTCTCCAACCATGGACCATGTATGGATATAACCTAGAACCTCTGCTCAGACATAGCCCATGGTAGCTCAGTATCCAAGAGAGTACCTTAGTAAGAGGAACAGGGACTATTTCTGACATGACTGCCATTGAGGCAGTCTCTTTGACCTCCCCACCCCACAAGGGAGGAGCAGTCCTGGTAGGCCACAGAGGAAAATTTTGCAGCCAGTCCTGAAGAGACCTGATAAGCTAGGGTCAGATGAAAGGGGAGGAGGTCCTCCCCAATCAGTGGACTTGGAAGGGAGCAGGGAGGAGCTGAGGGAGGACGGGTGGGATTGGGAGGGAATGAGGGATCAGGATACATCTGGAATACAAAGTTAATAAAGTATAACTAATAATAAAAATAAATAAATAAAATGAAAAAAAAAACAAGAGGCAAGACATATAACTAAGTGAAGTTACTAGCAAAAGCTAATTTTATACATAAAATTATAGACAATGAAGTCCTACGCATTCATAAACTAGAAGGAAATTCTCTCATTTACAATGAGGACAAAGGTTGAGGGGAACATTATGTTTCCTGAAATAATCTGGATGTAAGATAGATACAACTCAATCTCATTTATGCTTGAAATATAAGTGAGTAGAAATCAGAGAAATAGTAGATTCATGGTTCCTAAAGGTCAGGGAATGGTGAGAGATGTAGGTCAGAGGACAGAGTTAGACACTAGGAGTGACATCAGATCTATTGCACAGCAATGTGACTATAGATAAAATAGTAATCCATCATATATTTAAAAACCGTTGACAGTACATTCTTCAGCTATCATCTGCCATCCTATATTTCTATATTCAAGTATAAGCCTATTCATTATCCTTTAAAAATATTAATTACAGTTTATTAATTTTGTATCCCAGCTGTATCCCACTCCCTTATTTCCTTCCAATCCCACCCTCCCTCCCTCATCTTCTCCCTGCCCTTTTCCTAGGCCACTGAAAGGGGAGGACCTCCTCCTCTTTCATCTGACCCTAGCTTATCAGGTATCTTCAGGACTGGCTGCCAGTCCTCCTCTATGTCCTAGCAGGGCTGCTCCTCCCTTGGGGGTGGAGGGAGGTCAAAGAGCCAGCCATTGAGTTCATATCATCTTTCTTATCTCTATTACAATTTCACATTTTAGCTAATAACCATGTACAATTTTAATTATTTATTAAAAGAAAATCTTGTGTTTGAGTAACATAAGTTATTATAGAAAATTAATATAAACTTTACTTCACATATTGATAAAAGTAGAAGGCTGAAATGCTTTTAGTCTGAAATGAGAATTGAGATATTTTCCAGTAGATATGCATTATAATGAACATTACAAATTGTTAAATTTTGCCAGATTTATTCTGAAATCCATCTTCACATAGGAAGTTGACAAAGGATTGTTTCTTTTTTTTTCCTTCCCAGTGGGACTATTTAGCATTAATGATGTAAAACACAGGAGTCTGGGGAAAGTCATTTTTCTAATGTGTCCTCTTACTTTCAATTAAGAAATATAACCCGGATAATTTGAAGAAATTATTTTTTATTTGTCCCCTTACATTTTAATAAAAACTGATGGCATGCAATTATAATTAAAGGTATACTAATTTGGGATGTAGCTTAAACTTTTTAAAAATCATTAAGTTTTCGGTTATTTTTATTTTCCTATGTGTATAACTGTTTTGCCTTCACATGTGTCTGTGTATTGCATGTTTACAGTGCCATGGAAGACAGAAGAAAGCACTGTACCCTCTGTAACTGGAGTTACTGATTATGAGCTATCAGGTAGATGCTAGGGAACAAAAAATCAAGTATGAGATTATGGAAGATATTTCCAATTCAAACTATAATAATATATTTCTGATCTTCATAGGTTATGGCCATCTCATGATGCAAAAAGATGTGTTTAGTCTAACTTTAAGAGTTCTCAATGTAAATAATGCACAGAATAAATGCTTCTTTTACAAAGAAGAAAAAAGGAATAGGATGGCAAGAATAGAGACAACTTTTTATATAGACAGAATTAGAAAGAGACAAATTTCAAGTTCTGGATTACATTTCTCAATGAGTAGAAAATAATACAATAGGAAAAGATGAGTATTTTTAAGTGTTAATAAAACTGTCTCCATATGCAGCAGAACCCTATCTTTCTATTGCAAACTGGTAGTTTCAGCTCAGAAGGATTTATCCTACATTTTCTGAGAAAAGTATAATGGCCTTCTATGAAGACATTTTACTGCAAGAAAATTCTAATTTTCCTTAGGGAGCACTCCCACCACCCTGATAAGCTTCTAGACATACAGGTAGACTTATTCAATTCAAAATGTGATTTCTGAATGGGTGTACTTCATTACAAGGGCTGTATGATTAATTTATCCATCACACCATTAGGTGTGATAATGGTGAAAAATTACAAGTTGTATCAGATCAACTGTATTTATGTGCACTCAGTAGGGTAATTTGCATCATTAAGTGCTGCAAACTCAGCCATTGATAGATAGCTCTGTCGAAATGTGTGGCAACGACATGATCAAAAGCATGTCCACAGTGAGGAAGAAATCTATAAACAAATTTATAAATATGAATGTATAAACCACTTGAAAATAGAATACATATGAGAGGAGCGTAATGAAAAAGTTAGAGAAAGGAGAGGGAAAAAAGGAGAAAATTATATTTTAATCTTTAAAAAATTAAAAAAATACGGGTGGGCAAAATGGCTCAGCATGTAAAGGTGTTTTCTGTGCTAGCCTGGTAACCTACACAAAGGTGAAAGAAGACAACTGCCACCACAGAAGACACTGACTTCTACAAAAGCACCATGGTAAGTATGCCCAATGCATAATAATAATAATAATAATAATAATAATAATAATAATAATAATAATA